GAGAGAGAGAGAGAGAGAGAGAGAGAGAAACCATACAGCTTATATTTTAGGCTTACAGGTCTTAAGTTCTCCAAAGCTACCACTCAACCCTGGTGGCACACCATAAATGCAGCCATAGGCAATATGCAAATGAATGGGTGTGACTATGTTTCAATATTTTATTTAAAAGAGGCATCTGATCCACTAGCAGTATTTGCCACCCCAGATCCAGTCAATCTTATTTTTCTCTACTGAAGAACAATAAATTATATTGCTTTTTCTCCTTACTATAATACAAACAGACCATGTTCAATATAGACTGTGTCAGTTTACATGTTATCTAGATAACATATGCACAAAAACCTTGTAAGAAGCATGTTATCTTCCTGATTTTATGAATGAGGAAATTAAAGATCTGAAAACCTGATAAACTTGTCCACAATTACACACTTAGTAAGAGGCAGAGTCCAGTCAGATCTCAAAAAAACTGAAGTTTCTATTTTCATGCTAAGATACTACAATGCAAATACTATGTTTTGTATTTATCTTGTGTGGGGAAATCTACAAATGCTTTTGATGCTTATAAATCTCCAGGCAGATATAAATCTTATAAAAGCATCAATATCCTAACAGGAGCAGGTTGGTTCTAGAATATAATAAGTGACCCATTAGTAAAACTAACCTATTCTTCAGCAGTATAGTTTATTGATGCCTCTGCCAATATTCAAAAAAGTACAATTTGTTTAATAATGCTGCCAACTGCAGTCAGCTTAAACAATGAGAACTATTGCCAACAAACAGCTAATGCACTCCCATTAGTATATGTATATTTAATTATTACGACATATACATAAATTCTAGGCTTTTGGAAAAAAAACTTTCAAGCAAAAGAAGAAAGATATAAGAATACAAGGAAAAGTTTCACTTTAGCTTATCCTAACACTGAATCCCAATCTGCAGAATACCACTGTTAATAGTTTCACACTGCCATATTTAGGCTTGCATCTTGTGTGGACAAAATCTCTTGCATCTCTTGCTCTCAAAATATAAATCAGTATCAATATTTCAATTTTTAAAGTGTTAAATACATGAGAATGTTCCATATAAATACATCAGATTCCTAAACGGCACTCCATAATATGCATAGAACTTATTTAACTACTTCCCTATCACTGAGCACTTAGTTTGTCTCTAGTTCTGTACTATTACAAACAGAGCTGAAATGACTGTCCTTGTACATAAATAAATCTTATTACACAATCAAGTTTCTCTCCAGGATATATGCAGTGAAAATGACAGGTCAAGGAGTATGCAAATTCAAACTCTGACCAATTGCACTTCAAAACTCCTGCAAATGGCTAACGTTCACATTTATAACACTACTAACATAAATTAAGAGCATGGAAGAATAAGTTCCAATCCTACTTAAAAAATGACTTTGCCTCTAGAATTCTGTCTACCTCTCTCCATCTCCAGTGAAACTACTTTAGTTAAGTTATCATCTTTGCAATCATCCTTGTCCTGATAGGTCTCCTTGTTTCTAGTGCTGGCCCTTCCCATCTAACACTATACTGTACGAAATAACTTTCTAAGTATATATCTTATTATATCTTCATCATGCTGATATGGTTTGGCCGTGTCCTCCCCCAAATCTCATCTCGAACTGTAATCCCCACCTGTCAAGGGAGGGGCCTGGTTGGAGGTGACTGGATCATGGAAGCTGTTTCCTCTATGCTGTTCTTGTGATAGTGAGTTCTCATCACATCTGATGGTTTAAAAGTGTGACACCTTCCTCCACTCCCCTTCTCTCTCTCCTGTCTCCAACGTGCTTGCTTCCCCTATTCCTTCCACCATGACTGTAAGTTTCGTGAGGCCTCCCCAGCCAGCCATGCCATGAGTCAATTAAACCTCTTTTCTTTATAAATTACCCAGTTTCCAGTAGTTCTTCATAACAGTGTGAAAATGGAATAATACACAGGCTGAGGAGAAAAAACGTAATTCTGAACATAACTTAGCAGGTGCCGTTATGATACTGTTCCTCTCTACTCACAGTTTATCTTATGTCACTCTCCATCACCAATGCAGGAGAAAACAAAAGAGGGTGGAGTCGGGGGAGGTTTGATTTCAAGCCCTCAAACATATCTCAGGGTCCTTGTATGACATAATCTCAGTCTGGGACTAATACTCTCTTTCCTTCGTCTTCCCCTAAACCCCACTTTGATTAATAACTATCTTTACAAGCTTTACGGCCAAAAAAACTAAATTACTCTACATGTTATATCTACCTAAAACCTAGCATACTTCCTGAAATATAAATACATAGTAAATGATAATACAATGCTTACTAGTTAACAGCACTAAGGTGACAAATCCATCAGCAATTATAGTATCTAAGTAAGCCAAGGAATAATAAGGATAATCACTAGAGTGGTCTTTCTAGTGTCTACATTTTAAAAACCAAAACTGGACATCTCAACTTGACCAAGAGTGCCATCTTCAACTGACAGATCTAAACCAGAGTTGATTTACCCAGTTCCCAGATCACCACTGTCCAGTACCTACACACAGACATATTACACTTACATTTTTCTGAAAAAAATTCACTCATAAAGCATGATATATTAAATATCATAATGCCAATACACATTTAATACAACTTCAATTTAAATATAACCTCTGTTGGCCGGGCGCGGTGGCTCAAGCCTGTAATCCCAGAACTTTGGGAGGCCGAGGCGGGTGGATCACGAGGTCAAGAGATCGAGACCATCCTGGTCAACATGGTGAAACCCCGTCTCTACTAAAAATACAAAAAAGT